AGCAAGCATCTCTTTTTGTCTTGCAAATAAATATTTAAAAATTTTCAAGTCAGAAAATAAGTAAATTATAGCTGTTATGGAAAATTACCTTGGTGCTTTGAGTTTTTAAAAAAGTTATTTTTATTCCTGTGAATGAAGGCAAGAAGGTGAATTTGATTATCAGAGACACAGTTTACAAGTAAAAATCTTAGTCCATTTTTAGAATTCTGTCAGCAGCCGTTGTTTGGTATGACTGCACAAGCTGCAGTTTAAATAAATACTAAAAGAAGCAAGGTGGTTCTTCAGCCACCATTAAAATAATGAACTGAATCATTTGAGGCCCAAAAGACAAGAACACTTTACAATTAAGAAATTTATTAGGAAGTTTTTGCATGTTTGACGTCACTAATAGTAAAAGTAAAAATTAGGTCTAGTACCATTAATTTAGTTGCCAGAGAAAGCAGGTACTTTTTAAGGTTTTTCTTTAACATCTGTTATAATCAGCAACATTTGGAGTATTTTTGATACTTTGGTCAGATTTTCTTTCCTTTTAACATCATTCATTTAATTTTTTTCTACATCCTACTAAAATATAATAAAGTAGTCTTAATTCTTTTCACTAGTAACACAGATAAAATGCTGAATACAAATAGTATGATAAATGTAATTATGTTTGAGTTTTTAAAACAGATTTAGAGTCCCAAAGGAGAGACTGTCATTCCAGTATATTCTAGAAATCTTTGAAGCCCATATTTAGTACCTTAGAAATGTATAGTTTTAGTTTTAGTATTTTGTTCAATGTGATTCAAGAAAGGGAAATGAGCCCAGACCTTTCCCAGAAGTATTGTTTAAGTTCTTACTGTGAAGGAAGTGTTACGGGTAACTTGTAGGAAGAAGGAGAAACCTGGTTTAAGTTGTCTTTGAATAGTCTCTAGGGTCTGTGTGGCACAAACTTGAAATAGTCTTTCTTAAGTGCTTTAGCAACATGAATTTCAATTCACAGAAACTTGTGTATCAGTTTTAAAAGTTTCTAAACTAAAACTAAAAAAATAGTTAATATACCATTTTTATAGAAAAGTTAATACAAAGCCAATTAAAAATAATAGGAATGAAATGACTTGTATCTTTCAAAGCACTTCTAATATTTTCCTATTAAGATAATCTCTGCCAATTCTTTCTTGTTCTGTCTTTATTTTTATTAATTATTGATGTTCTGCAAATCTTTCTGGACTGTCTTCATACCAGGATAGATTTTCAACCAATTCAGTGAAGCTTTGCTTTAATGGTCTTGAAAATTCTCAAATTCTCTATATTTGAATATTTGCATATCTTTCAAAACTTGCATCCTTCTCCTTATCTCCACCTCTTGTTCCCTGGTTTCTTTTTATTGTTAGCCCTTATCACCAAAAACGTTTACTTATTTTCTTTCTACCCCTATGAAAATGTAAATTCCATGGGAGCAAGGATTTTTGTTTCTTCATTGCTTTATTTCCAGTATCTAGAATAATGTCTGACAGATAATAAACATGCAATAAATATTTGTTGAATGAGTGGCTGTCCTGATTTTCTCAAAACTTTCTCCACTTTCTGTTGTATTGCTAAAATTCTTTCTTTTTCTGTACATTTTTTTTTTTTTTTTTTTTTTTTTTTTTGCGGTACACGGGCCTCTCACTGTTGTGGCCTCTCCTGTTGTGGAGCACAGGCTCCAGACGCACAGGCTCAGCAGCCATGGCTCATGGGCCCAGCCGCTCCGCGGCATGTGGGATCTTCCCGGACCCGGGCACGAACCCGTGTCCCCTGCGTCGGCAGGCGGACTGTCAACCACTGTGCCACCAGGGAAGCCCTATACATTTTTAAATAGGTTTCTTATCACTTTACTAACAAATTGAAGTCTCTTCACTTATTCATTTACATATGTTATCATTCTTAACACATTAATTAACAACAAATTAATTGTTGCTCCTGCTTAACAAAGTAGTATTTATCTTGGATTAAGTTATGTATTGTTTTTCCATTTCTTAGCACCTTAATAATGAACATCTTTAGAGCTAAGTGAAGTCTGGGAAGTCTCAGGATGATATAGTAGAGTTTTAACAATAACAATCAGTTTTTCTAACCTCTGATTTTTTTTATGTCTTGTGTAGTTTTTAATGTTACTTGTAAGATTGGAATTGGGAAATAGGAATTTTTACAAAAATGTAGCTAGAATTCTCTGAAGAACCCATAGAACCAAATAGAGGTTTTAGAATAATTTGGGTTTTTAAAATTCGTATAATTTTTAGCTGCCTTACCTAATATTAGCACTTTCAGACATAACAAAATCAGTACTTGGAAATAAAGTAAAAGGTAGATTTTTTCTTCATTAACTCTAATATTTAATAACCATCATTTGGGCTTCCCTGGTGGTGCAGTGGTTAAGAATCCGCCTGCCAATGCTGGGGACACGGGTTCGATCCCTGGTACGGGAAGATCCCACGTGCTGCGGGGCAGCTAAGCCCATGCGCCACAATGACTGAGCCTGTGCTCTAGAGCCCGCGAGCCACAACTGCTGAGCCCGCATGCCACAACTACTGAAGCTGGCATGCCTAGAGCCTGTGCTCTGCAACAAGAGAAGCCTCCATGATGAGAAGCCCATGCACCGCAATGAAGAGTAGCCCCTGCTTGCTGCAACTAGAGAAAGCCCGTGCGTAGCAATGAAGACCCAATGCAGCCAAAAATAAATAAATAAAATAAATTTGTTAAAAAATAATAACCACCATTTAAAAAAACTTTACACTTTTGTTTCACTTCTTACCCTTCTCAGCAAAAGTCACACACATAGTAAGTCAAGGAGCTGAAATGTAAGCCTAAGTTTTCTGACTTGACTCTACCATAGTACTCTATACTAGGCATTCAGATTCCACCATACTGGAGTACATCTTTAGATACACAGAGGTACGTTTGAATTTGCTCCATCCAAATATAATCAAATGTGATAGTGTACAGGTTAAGCAAACTGTATTAACACAGGAGGTCACTGATGGTACCATATGATGAAAGAATATATAAGATTGCTTTTATCTTTGTGGAGAGACTAAGTTAGCATTAGAGAATGACATATTAGAATAGGCAGGAAGTGGGGAGCCACCTGAGGAAGAGGATGTAAGAAAGAGGTGGTGAACCATATTAAAGATTAGTACCTACTTGGACAATTTCCTTATAACTCTGCCAACATAGAATGGTACATGGTACATCAATAAAATAGATTGCCTTGACTTAGATTATCTCCACTAAAAAGGATATAAACAAAACAATGATTGTTGTTTTGTTTTGTTTTGTTTTGCGGTATGTGGGCCTCTCACTGTTGTGGCCTCTCCCGTTGTGGAGCACAGGCTCCATACGTGCAGGCTCAGCAGCCATGGCTCACGGGCCCAGCCGCTCCACGGCATGTGGGATCTTCCTGGACCGGGGCACAAACCCGTGTCTCCTGCATCAGCAGGTGGACTCTCAACCACTGCGCCACCAGGGAAGCCCAATGATTGCTTTTTTTTAATGCATCTCTCTTATTTATGCTTTCTTTTAAATATGTACAAATATAGTCCTGAAAATTTTGCTTTAGGGCAAGGAAACTAAAAATTACAATTAATTTGAAATTTATTTCTTTAATTCCATTTAGCTGTTACATACTTGGCTATAGAATATTTTATCTTGGCATAACTTGCTTTTAACTGGAAAACTCATTTATTAAATATCCAAACTCAGTATCAATCCTTGGAATAAGTGATTTTAGCAATTTTTGACACTTACTATTCTTAACTGTATTTACTAATGTGATGCACATACTGAATATGTAGTTTTCTTTAAATGTGTGCATATTTTTGGTGTTAGTTTTTTTAAGACTAGTAAATATAATACTGAAGAAATTTTTTGAAACTTTCTAATACATATCTGAAACAAATTACAGATAAAAGATCAATTCTACCTAGCCTCTGGTGTCATGTCACACTCTGGCTATGGGAAACCGCTTTTGTGGATCTAGAATCACACATCTTTAAAAAAGTAATACAGGTTAACTTTTCATGGTTATTTCCTTCCTCATCATAGTGTTAAGTAAAGAATGATTCAGAAAGAATTGAATACTTAACAAAAAATTGTTCCTCAGCAACTAGTTATGTCTGAATGTGTAGTGAAAGCCAAATTGTAAAGACACTCACAGTTATTTCATAATCTTGCAAAGATTCAGTATTAGCACATTAAACTAATCAATCCTGTAGTCTAATTCATCCCAGACCCTTTGTAGCATGTCATTGTTGGTAGTTATAGTGATAGACATGATGTGTTCTCTCATTTCCTCAAAGAAGAGGTAGTATAAACAGAAGATGCATACTTAGTGTATAACCAAAATGAGTAATTTGGAGGCATTCAATTTTCTGAATCATCCTGTACCATCAGAATTTGTATATATTCTTGTCACAAAAAATTTGACAGAAGTCAAAGGAAGTAAAACATGAATTGTAGATAGGAGAGAAATAATGAGTCACTGAGGAAGAGCTCACTTTCATGAAATACTCATAAGATAGGATTTTTAATGAACTAACTAGCTTTCTTAATTTTACTATCAGTTGATTTTTTAGTTCTCTCAGAAAGAAGTAACAAACAAAACCCCCAAAAGAATACACATACTTGATCTTTTAATTGAGGAAAGTTGTTTAATTATCTAATACCTAAAATTCAGATTTCCAGATAATAGGTATTAGACCAGTTCAACTTGGACACTTATTTGATGGACATTTGATATGTTATTAACTTAAGCCTATCTGATAATTATAATTTTAGTTATTCAATTCATTAACTTACAGTTACAAAAGATGTAAGACTTTTTAGACATCTTTTTTTTCACATTTTTTAAGCTTTTTAATTGCAGTATACCTCTGTAGGTATAGTATGCCTACAGAGATGTGCACGAATCATAAGTTATAGCTTGTTGAGTAATTATCCTGTCAGCATTACCCATATAACAACCTTTGGGTATCTTTTTATAGGAGACTTTGCAGCAGTTGATTATGATGTCTTTGCCAAATGTCTTAATCATTGGCAAAAATCCCTTTTCTGGTAAGTATTAAAATTAGCATAATGTGATAATAAAGTCTTATCCTTGTGTAATATTATGATGCTTACCAAGATCTTGCTAATTTCCATTAACTCACTAGGTTTTTTGTGAGTCTATAGGGAAAGTTGGAGGTGATATTCCATTTTATATAGAGAAAATAAAGAGAATATTTGTAAGTTGTAGATGGGATCAGGCATACATTTTACATTAAGTCCAGTGTTTTTTTTTTTTTACTGTACCAAGTCGATACTTTTCTGTGATGATTTTTAGTGTCTTATAAACAAGTATAGAAGATAAGTACAGCAGTTATAAGCTTAAAAGAACATAACCTTAGAAAAGAAGTGATTTTGAAATAATTTCTAGGTTTTATAGCTACTATCTACCATTGCCAAAGTTGTTTGAATCTGAGGTTTTACTGATTGATATGTTGTAATTTATATTAAACTACTTTTGAGTGGAAAAAAGATGAGAAGCAGTTTCTTAGATAATTTAAATTATTTTCATCAAAGTTTCTGCCCTTTACCGGATTTTAAGTGCGACATGTTCAGGGTTTTAATTTTTGAACAGTTGGGGAAATTAGCAGCTACCTAACAGTTTCAACAAAGGACTTATTCTTACAGGCTACATGTAACCCAAATCAAGTATATCTTCTCCAATTCCCAGTCTTACCCTCAGTCAAAACAAACAAAAGTAAAACCAAAATAAAAACTGAATCCAAGCAGCTGTTTTCATTGAGCAAACTACAAATTAGATGGGGTGAATTAGGAGTTTAGATACTCTTTCGAGATATTCTGGAATGTTTTAATATACAAATAAAAAATGTAAAAAGCATTTTGTATGTAGAATGGAATTGTTTTCAATTCCACATACATTTAGTAATTACTTACAAAGTTAGAGGGACCAGGAATATAAAGTAAATGGTTTATGCTCTGTAGGGTCTTGTGTTGTGGCAAGAGATACACAGATTACTGGGAAATCATGTAATAATTAGTGCAAAATAGAGAGATGTAAAAATGTTAAGGCTTATAAAATATGGAGCCATTGATTATTCTTAAAGTTGGTAGATTAGTGAGGGTTGGAGACCATTGGTGGTTGGGTCAGGGAAGACTACGCAGAGATGTTAGAGCTGTGCCTAGGATTGTGATTAGATTAGTAAGTAGTTCATTAGAGGGACAAAGGGTAGGGAAGAAAGACAGGCAGAGGGAGTAACAGAAGTTAAGGCAGTGGTGTGTGTATGTATGTATGTATGTATGTATATTTGGGAAGCGTGATTAGTGTGGCTAGGAAAGTAGGTTGTTTCATGGAGAGTAGGAGGAAATGTTTGAGAAGAAGACAGATTGGGCTGATGGTGAAATTCTGGCCAGAGAAGTGACTTTTTTTTTGTCAGCTGAATGTTTTAAGAAAATTTGAATTGAATGCTGTTGGACAGTGAATGTACTGTCCAGTTCTGTTACAGACCATAAACTTTATCCAGCTTGTTATATACATTTATTTTACCAGCCTCACCATAACTGATATTTAAGGTTTTGATTTTCATGAATCTACACAGGGGAAAGCCGTTTACATTTTATAGGTAGATGAGTCATATAAGGTCAGTGTTTTAGAAAGAAAACACCAGTAGGCCTAAGAGAAGCCAGACCTATTAGGAACCATTTTGGCTGGCTGTGGCATACCTCTGTAGTAGAGGTTCCTAATTTGGTCTGCTGGTGCAGTGTAATGACTTATGGAGAAGTAGTGGATTTAGAGTTCGCATCCTTTATCACACAGAGCTTTGAAAGCTGTTTTATCTGTACTGCAGCCCTTCAAAATTCCTCTTACCATATTGTGCACACACAGAGCTGCTTTTCTGAATTCTCCACTGCACTTATAAACTTAATCCCTTGGTCAAGTTGTTGTGAATATCACCTCTAGAAGTAATACTACCGCTATAAAAGAGTTGAACTAAAATAAAATGTTGTACTTAGTAGTTGTTTTTATTTCAGAACAAGGCACAGAAGAAGTTAAAAAGTTGCTTTTACTTTTACTGGGTTGTGCAGTTCAGGTAAGTTAAAATAATTCTTCATATTTTTATTTTAATAACTTTTTATAAATTTTTTAGGCTCTAGTTTCTGAAAGACTTAAGGATAAGGATGGGCCATTGATGTTCAAAGTCCATGTTAGAAATTTTTAAATAACTGTATAACTTCCTAAGGAGAAGGTTTTTGAAGAAAAACACTCATTCTGTTACTTTATTTCAAACTTTAGTTATATTATCAGGTAGTCATAATCATTTAAAACATTTAATTATTATTTTTTTTATTCGAGGCTTTTAAAGCCCCCAGCTTTTCAAGTTTCCCTAGAGGTACCCTTAAAAACCTCTCCCAGAACATCCTTATGATTTATGCACACGCATGTGTGTGTGTTACAGAAGGGAAGAGGATTGATGATCAAAAGGAGGCAGAAATTATGAAATCACAATAATCTGCTGGCTTAGGAATCAATTAATGTAATGGAATTAGAAGTAACTTTAGTGCCCATAACACTTTAAAAACTGTATATAAAGATAAAAGAGAGCTTAATTTTAAGTGGAAGTGAAACTGTTTATAGTTCTGTTTTTAACACCAGACTCTTTTTATGCTCTAGAGCTGGGCTGTCAGTAGAATAGCCACTAGCCACGTGTTGCTATTTAAGGTTAAATTAGTTACAATTGAATAAAATAAAATTACAGTTTCAGTTTCTCAGTTGCACGAGCTATATTTCAATAGTCAGTAGCCACAGTTAGCTAGTGAGTACTTCTATTGGACAACACTGATACTCTGATTATTCAACTTCAAAGTGAATCTTCTCATTCTATCTTTTTTCTGTCTTGGTACTCTTTCTCGTTTCTAGCCTTCAAGAACCTATCAACTTCATTCGATATTCTTTAAGAAAACCTAACCTATTTATAAAACATTTTCAGAATTCTTAAAACTTTCAGAGTTTGAACAGAGGTGAGATTTAGTACAAATTGTGGGTATTTTAAGGTAAAGGAAGAATTCTCATTGATCTGTGTTGAGACTGTGTTACAGGGTGAGCTTTTAAAGGTGGTATAAATAAACAGTGGCTCTAGGACTTAGAAAAGGGAAGTGTATGTGTTTAAACTGAAGGCAGACAAAGGTATGGCAGTTGAATTGGGGGACCCTTCAGTGAGTCATGCTTATTATAACCCTGCCATTTTATGTATGTTCATTGGCTCAAACTATACATAAGTCACTTTTGGAAGCATAAAATTTTAAAATGGGGGTTACCATACCTAAAAAGTTAGTTATTTTATATATGCCACAAATGTACTATCCGAAAGTCATTCTTAATTGTTCTCACTACACCTGTCAAATATTATTTACTAGACCAAAAAAATTCCTGTTTTTAAACCTGGTAGTTTTTATCACATCCCCCCAAAACTCTGACTTCCTAGTCATAGCTGGGAACTGTACATTTCTCATAATTTAATTTTAAATTAATTTTAATTTAATTTAATTTTAAATTTAATTTAATTTCTATATCATCCTAATAATTTTGCTTTTATAGGATAAGGAACTTTCTGCACTGATAGAAATGTGCTTCATTAAATTAAATTTTATGGAAGTAGAAATAAAATATTATGATGTACACTAATCATTAGAGAAATGCAAATCAAAACTACAGTGAGGTATCACCTCACACCAGTCAGAATGGCCATCCTCAAAAAATGTACAAAGAATAAATGCTGGAGAGGGTGTGGAGAAAAGGGAACCCCCTTGCACTGTTGGTGGGAATGTAAATTGATGCAGCCACTATGGAGAACAGCATGGAGGTTCCTTAAAAACCTAAAAATAGAGCTACCATATGACCCAGCAATCCCACTGCTAGGCATATACCCCAAGAAAACCATAATTCAAAAGCAGTCATGTACCACAATGTTCATTGCAGCACTATTTACAATGGCCAGGACATGGAAGCAACCTAGGTGTCCACTGACAGATGAATGGGTAAAGAAGATGTGGCACATATATACATTGAAATATTACTCAGCCATAAAAAGAAACAAAACTGAGTTATTTGTAGTGAAATGGACGGACCTGGACCTAGAGTCTGTCATACAGAGTGAAGTAAGTCAGAAAGAGAAAAACAAATACTGTATGCTAACATATATATGGAATCTAAAAAAAAAAATGGTTCTGATGAACCTAGGGGCAGGACAGGAGTAAAGACACAGACGTAGAGAATGGACTTGAGGACACGGGGAGGGGGAAGGGTAAGCTGGGACGAAATGAGATAGTAGCACTGACACATATACACTACCAAATGTAGAATAGATAGCTAGTGGGAAGCAGCCACATGGCACAGGGAGATCAGCTTGGTGCTTTGCGACCGCCTAGAGGGGTGGGATAAGGAGGGTGAGGGAGATGCAAGAGGAAGGGGATATAGGGATATACGTATGCATATAGCTGATTCACTTTGTTGTACAGCAGAAACTAACACAACACTGTAAAGCAATTATACTCCAATAAAGATGTTTAAAAAAATGTTATGATATAATAAATGTTTAGAGTGTAAATCAGAACCTTGCTAAGTTTCTTACTGACCAAAGAGCCAAGTTTCCTTTTTTGAGTATAGTGTCTTCACTGTAGTTCAGTAATTGGCCCAAGAGATGCAACTAAGCTAGACAAGGCAGTGCTGTCTGTTTTGTATGCACTTCTCATTTGGTAGCTGTAAGAATACAGTTAAACGCAGTTGGATTGCAGTATAAGAGAGGTAGACAAGAGGCAGAGAGTAAGATGCATGTTAAACTGTTATTCAGTACTGAATGGAAAGAAAAAGATGAGGTTTGCATTGTAGTATTTTTAGTTTATATAAAGTTTTTTAAAAGGTACACAATAAATAATTGCTGCCTTTATTCCACTTGATACATGTGTACTTGTATATACATTCTTAAATTTTGCCCCTGGTAACTTTGTGTTAGAAACAAATCAAATATTTATTGTATTACCTTATATGTGTTGAACTGGGCCACAAAAGTAGGTTTCTTTTATTGAGATTGATAGGATGAAGATGTGAGAATGAATTGTAAGCCTGAAGTAAAAATTGCTTAAAATTTTTTTTCCAAGAAAAAGGGCTGTGTTGTTTGATGATAGGCAAAGACTGACTGAGCATTTTGGCTGTATTCCGAATTCTGCCACTGACTCACTGTGGTTTTTGGCAAGTAACTTATCCTCTCTGAAACAAGTTCTTGATTCTTTACTTCTCTGTTTGTAAAGTTAGCCTAATTATATTGTACTGACCTTAGATGGTTTATGTAATGGTTACCCGCTTTAGAACTTAAAACTTTTCAGCGTAAAAATGGTATGGATTTTCAATATGTTGCTCTTTAAATAAATATTTCTAAATTGTTATCTTTTTATTAGGGTAAGTATATTAGAGATCATTTAAATGCAAAACAAAACCCTCATTGTGCTGTTCAAAATGTAGCCAAGCTTTTTAGCCTAATGAATTTTTGGTTATTTACAACATATTAACAACTATACCCTATGAAGTATGAATGATTGGTTTATTCGTTTCTCTTAGTGTCAGAAAAAAGAAGAATTTATTGAAAGAATTCAAGGTTTAGATTTTGATACAAAAGCAGCAGTTGCCGCACATATTCAAGAGGTAATAATCTGTATACAATTTTTATGTATTTTTATGAAGCTTGTGGTATGTTTTATTTGTATGTCTCCCCAAATACCGTCATGGATTAAGCAAGGATAAATCAAAGTCAATTATAGATGAACTCTGCTTTTAGAAAAATTATCTTCTTTTCTTTAGACATAGTTTCTTAAATGAATTATCTTTACATGGCACAGTGCTGACTACAGATGTACTGTTGCCTTTATCCATAGGGATATAGGCAGAAAGTGCTATTTGAGGAATGTATATTTCTCTGTTAGACATCACAGCATGAATAGTATAGTAAATGGAAGCAGCACAAAGTGGATCACTGCCTGTAATTCAAAACTAAAGTGAGGTAAGATGATAATACTAACCTATTAGTATTATGTGATTCCAGTGATTTTTTTTTTTTAGTGAATGGGCACAGCATAATTTCTACTGAAGATATTACTTGAATTATAAACACATTAGTGATTTATAACATCCATATAAAAACCTAAATGGAGGACATAGTGTACAATGTCAAATAATTGAAGCTAATATTTATTTGTTAAGATGGTTTTTAAAAGCTGCTCTTTCTGCATCTGTCTAGTCTTGGGCTTTTAATCTTGCGTACTTTAGAGTTTTTAGAACTACAGCATGTTAAATTTTACATGCTGATTAGAAAGAGAACTAAGGAAAGGGAGAGAGTTTTAAATAGTGAGAATTGTTGTGTTTAAATATTCTCTATTTAAATGACTTTGTGTTCCATATATCATCTTTTCTCTTAGTTAATATTCAAAGAGCCCCGCTTTCTGGTCAGTAATATTGTCAGCAGTAAGCGTATTAGTACTCTACAAGATACAGTTTTGTTGGTAGTTTCCCTTTATATATACATATATATGTTTGTTTCTGTTAGCTTTGTGATTTGTATTTGATTTTGAATAAATGCTGAGTACCACAAGTTACTAAATTTGCTACCATTCTTGAAAGTGTTATTTTTGCTGTTTATTGTGAAAATTAAAGCAAAATATCAGAATCACAGTGAGAAATGGAAAGCAAGAAATAAGTATTTCACTTATATAACTTTTCCATTCTTTTAAAACTCTTTATACTGGGAGTCCTTTTCTCCTAAGGTTCTATGACAGTGTCTTCTTCAGAATTTATAAAGACTTAGCTTTTCAAGTGTAAAAGTGCAATAACCTATATCCTACAGGATTAAAACTTTTGCTTTTGAATTCAAGTACAATAAACTTAGTCTTATCTAAGGAAAAGATTAATTGAGTTTGTTAAAGCAGTTGTCAGACCTATTAGTATTACCTTCCCTTAAGAATGCCTTGAATTAAATATTTTATTTTGGGGACTTCCCTGGCGGTCCAGTAGTTAAGACTCCATGCTCCCAATGCAGGGGGGGTGCGGGTTCGATCCCTGGTTGGGGAACTAAGATCCCACGCGCTGCGCGGTGTGGCCAAAAAAAAAAAAAAAAAAAAAAAGAAATTAAAGAAAGTAAATATCTTATTTTTTAGTTGACTAAATTCATTTAAAGATTATATTTAGTAAAAATAATTTTTAGTAGATGCCTTTTCATCATTCATTAATTTCAAGATATCATATTTGCTTTTCATATTTTTATTATATGGGATATATAGTATTTAAGCTAATATTATACTAAAATTAAATGTATTTTTAAGTATTAGCCATTTAAAAAATTGTTTACTTTGGTTGCTCTCTAAAGGTAACCCATAATCAGGAAAATGTGTTTGATCTACAATGGATGGAAGTGACTGACATGTCTCAGGAGGAAATAGAACCACTCTTGAAAAACATGGTATTGCATCTAAAAAGACTTATAGATGAGAGAGATGAGCATTCAGAGGTTTGTAAATTTCTTTTAGTATATTAGGAAAGTTTACTTTCCAAAAAACTTCAGAGATTTTTCAGAATCGATACTTTGTTTCTTAGGGACAGGTAATAAAGTACTATATGTCTTTTGTGCAACACAGGAGTCAGAAAGGCTGCGTAAGAGCCCCAAATTGCTAGTAAACACATTGCAATTAGGTTTTCTTTTCTCCTTCCTTTTAAATTACTCTGATTTTGTTCTTGTGTTTTTTAACTCATCCCCATAGTTCTGGTAACAGTACAAAAGTATGAAACTAAAAATATCGTTGATGTAAGTGGAAAAATCATTGCCTTTTCAAGGTAGAAGAATTTGCTTAAGGTTAATTTTGTAGTTTTATTGCCACATTTTGAGATTGGAAAAATAAGTGTTAATAAAAGGAGAATAACAGGTGTTCTGAAAAAAATGTCCCACAAAAGGTCTCATATTTTTGTAGTCAGTATAATGAGATATGATTTTAGAAAAGAGAATTATTATAAACTCCTTTAAGAGAGTACTTTGGTTTTTAAAAAGAGTAAAATTGCACCAGATTTTTTGCCTGCACTCTCTGAAAGCAGCTTATAATTTTTAAAGGAGTCTAGACATTACTGCATGTGATGGTGAGTAATATTTTCTTAATAGCAGACCAAAGTACTCTGTCATTCTGGAGAATGTAAAACTGATTATTTGCTCCATTTACATGAGAGAGACGATTTGAACTTATTTATAGAGAATTTGATTACTCTCGGGACTAATGAAAGACTACATAGGAGAAATTTCTAAAGATTTTTTTGGAACAAAAAACTTTCACATCACTGTAAAATATATTCATTTCTGATGGGAATTTTCGGTTTTTCTTAAGGCATTAAAAGAGAAGAAAATATAGGAAGTAAATATTTTAGAGCAACAACTAAATTTTTAAAAAAATCTAAGACAGTGAGACCAAAGGAAGAAAAGAGTTGCACAGCATCCCTAGTATATATCATCCTTACCCTGAGATATTTAGATCACTTTATTTTCAATCTGAACCATATTTTGAACCATATGCTATATAATTTTTTATGTCAGTGTCTCTTTACTGTTTTATCCATTTTCTATAACATTTCTCTATTTGCATTTCAAGATATTAAAGGTATTTTGAAAAGGTGTCTTCCAGCTTCTTAGGAATTACTTCTAAAAATTTGTACTTTGGTTTCGTATGACTGATGGATATGTAAAAACTGTTTGATCTCACTTACATGAAATAATTAATATGGAGTGAAGGAGGATGTTATTTTGGAGAAATATACACAAAATACTTGTCATTACATGATTTGTGTCAAAACTAAAAGGAATGTGAAACACTATATAGCATGATTGAAAAACCGTTTAAAAGTCTGTTATCCTGCCTGATTAAGCATTTTAGTTGAATTTGTTTTTCTAACAAGGAAAAAAATGTTTTCTAAATACCTGAGGCAGGAGAATGTAGTTACATTCTCCTGCCTCAGGTATTTGGAAAACAAGTTTCTAGCTGGTTTAAACTCACTTCTCTGGGGGCAAAAAACTTCAATTTGGATAAACAGTGAACTAGTTAGAAAAGATAATTAAAAATAATTGTGAAAAGTATTAGATACATGTAAATACAGTATGTAAATATAATAATTCGGTATCATTCAATTGGATTGAAAGAAGTTCTTATTAACATTTCCCCTTTAACTTTTTTCTGCTTTTTTCTTCCAAAATATTTTATTAATTAATTTTATATAAAAAAACAAAATAGGATAAAGTTATGTATCACACTGAATAGCATATTGAGAGCAATGTTTATGGCTGTGGTTTCTAATTTCTCTACAAAATTAACTAGCCATGATGGAGTAAAGAGAGAAAGAGTAAATATCATATTCATATTTTTTGGAGCACTTCAAAGTACAGATAGCTTGGTGCTAATTTTTAAGTACAGAGAAAGCTTATAATAAAATAGACTTTAAAATTAACAAATAAAAATCTGTACATTAAAGATATTTTTAAGGCCTTTCTGTTTACACAGCACTATGTAGAAAGAAAATTGTGGAGAGAGGAGCCATCCCATCAGGTGTTACAGGTCTGGCCCACTTCAGCTTGCAGGACCATCTCCTCTTTTCCCAAGGGGAAAGTGTCAGTCAGGCTGAAAAGGGCCACAGGCGTCACCAGGGAGACATAGCGCTCCTTGTCCGTGCTGTGCTTATCCGCTAGCACCATAGTGAAGGAATAGAATGGGATTCTGCCTGGACTGCAGAGCTAGTGCTGGAGGCATAATCTTTGTTCCTATCCTGCCAGTGAGGGTCGGGAACATGGCCTGCCAGCACAAGATGATGTGTTGAAGATCCAGGTCACACTGTGCTTGCTGTAGCATTTCTTGCTGCAGCGAGTAGAGATTTGGGGCTATAGGTGTGGGCACAGTGAGGAGTCTCCTTTTCTCATAAAACTGATCTAGAAGTCATAAGACTGCTGTTCTGATGCCCACATTGATATTCATGGTTACACAGGTGGGCTCCATGCCAGACCAAGCCAGACTGAATTGACAAACTCAGGAAGGGCTACCCTGTGGCTTGTGGCCACCAATGCAGGACAACTTGCAAGTGGCTCCATAACTATTGCTGCTAGACATTTCATGTAACTGTTCCCTGGGACGTTGAATTTTGTCACAGCATCTGACTCTTTAACTCGAAATTTGCAGATCCCCTTGTTCTCAGCTCTGTCATAGACTGTGTACTGTACCTTGTGATCTCCTACAGGAAAATTTGAGTCTGGGGGGGAGGGCTTTTAGAATAACATCAGTAGAATGTTGTTTGCTGTGTCTGTTCCCTCGGGTATCTCCCGGGACACTGAGGACTGTCAGCTTATTAGGATCAGAAATGTGTTCTTTCATACTTGGGCACTTGATTCTGGGAGATTCCGTATCATCACAGGCTGGTCGGCCGCTCCAGGCTTTGTTGTCCGCTCCCATTTCAGTGTGTATCCTGGCGAGCAGTAGTACTCTCACTGGGAGTTGAAGTGGGCATCTAAAGCACTTAAATCCTCTGCTTGCTGGCATGGCAAGAATTGGGAGCTGCAGGCTATCCACAGGGGATGCTCCCCCTTGTCAGAACAGAGAGCTCCTTTTTTCTGTTTTTATTGATCTTTTGTAATAATTGTTTCACTTCGATCTAGAAAATATAATTTGGTCGCCCTGTTTTTAATTACTCTTCATTTTTTTGTTCTTAATGCTATGAAACAAGAATCTCTTCAGTCCTCTCCCTTTACCAAAAACCAAATATTTATCGTCACTGTTTATGCCAAGCTTTGTGTTATAAGTTTATTGTATACTATCTTAGTAAGTCTGCGCAATAACCCCATTTTATAGATGAAGATTCTCAAGTTCAGAGAAGTTAGGTAACTTGTCCATTCTAACTCCAATGCTTGTGTCCCTAACCTTTATAACACCTGTGCCTAAATCTGTGATTGTGCTGAGCACATCTCTGATTCTTTTCCTTAATGATGAGTTCTATAAGTAGAATTATTGTCACCAGAATTTTTTTAGCATTGTTGTATCTTTTTATGTTCATTCTTCAACATATATTAATAAATACCTGCTTTTTGAAAGATCTTGTGCTAGAGTATGTGGGAGCAACAAACTGACAAACTTTCAAAAAAGAACCAAAGATTGTTACAATCTAATAGGGAAATTATTTTAGTAAACGAATTAACTATAATAAAAATTTGAAAGTGACAAGTACCAAAAAAGACACATATATCTAAAAAAACACTATAGGAATTTAGAGAAGGAAGATATTACTTGCAGCCATTAGTGGAATGTCTAGGATCGG